TATATTATTACTATTTACAAATAAATTCTTAAGTATCAGTTATTTTTCTTAAAACCTAGAAGAGTAATTAAAAAATATATAGAAAACAGTAAACTCTACTGCATACGATGTTACGCAGTTTCTTTGTACTCGCGTGTTCTACTTGCTAAGCCTCATCGAATTTCGCACGAGGGGGTTGTAAAAAAAAGATGTTTGTATGTTTAATATATTCATTTTGAAGTATCAAAAAATTACAAATTACTTTACCGATACCACAAAATACAACTGTAATGTATCAGGCTTCCTAGCTAAACTATATTTGGGTGTAAAAAATATCATTTCTGATCACCATATCGCCTTCACACCAAACTTGCAACGGAAAAGATTGCTTTCCAATCCAATTCTTGGCAGGTATTTAGGTTTAATACAAAAAAAACAAAACAAACAAGGGTGATCAGAGATCCTCAGATCTCTCTATCCCTACTCGTGATGGCAGGTATTTAGGTTTAATACAAAAAAACAAAACAAACAAGGGTGATCAGAGATCATCAGATCTCTCTATCCCTACTCGTGATTAAGGTTTATTGTAGAAATGTTATGTGGAAGAGTGGAAAAAACGTTTTTTGTTGTTGTTAAATGCACGACGGGTATCGAAACCCGGATTCTAGCGTTGTAGCTCCGCAGACATACCGCTGTGCCACTGGGGGGCTACTAATTTGGAATGAAAGAGGGTTATGGTCTCCCCCGATGTTTTCGTGTACTTTAAAGTTGCTGGTTAGGTGAACAATCTCTGGTTGAATAACAGTGGGGTCAAGTTTGAGTTCGTTGTGATGTGTGTGTGGGTAGGGGAGTTGTCATTAATTACAGTTAGTTTATGTATTTGTGTGAAGCTAGCCCTAATCCTGCCAGCAGCGTTAGTGGTATAGCCTTGGAAGAGGGGTGAGAACCGTTAAGGTCTCCAAGGATGATTACATTGTTATATTTTAACATTATTGAGTTTAGAAAGGTAATGTCCGGTGTTGTTTGGGGTGACATGTAGATGGCTAAGAGGGTGGTATCGGAGTCTTTATTTTACATAGAATGTATTCCTGGTATGTGCGTCTGTTGTGGTCGATGAGAGTTAGATCTAGGTTATTTTCATAAAAGGATCAGTGTTGTCTGTAGTGGTTGTAGATGGAGAGTGCTGAGCTTCGTTAGTCCTTGATGAGTGATGGGACTGTTGAAATTGATGGCAAGGAAGGGTCTGAATTGTCATCTGAAATCATGGAGTCTTTGGCAAGCATGTTGTAGCGTTTTGACAAAGATAGTGGTTGGCTCTGGGAGCATATGGCTGGACGTGTTTTCTTCTTCTTCTTGCTGACACAATTCACGCTCATGTTGGTTGGGCAGCAGTAGGAAGCTGTCTTCAGATCGGAAGTCCCGAGAAGAACTGTTTAGTTCACTTGGCTGTGTAATATTATACAAGTTAAGATCAAAACTCTTTATTAATACTTAGTCCTGATAAGGACTGTTTGAATACAATAACCGTGGGCTCAGTAACGCGGAGAAGGTAAGCATGTCTGTACGGCACAAAATCCGAGATAAGAGTAATACGATACGTGATACCAATGAATAGACTGCTTTACCCACGTAAATACTTTATAAAGACTGGCAGAGTTACGTACTTCAAAACGAGCATTTTTGATTGGTTATAAACATGTAATTGAGAGAAGTGGACGTAGGTAAACAAGTATTTCCAAAAGAGATTGAGATGGGCAGATCCACTGTGACCATAATGATATCTCAGCAAACAGAAAAAGTAGGAGGTTCTTGTTTCATGCTCTAGCTTGTCAATATCAATAAGGAAGTATATAAAAAGCAGAAGACGATGTACCAGGTGACACAAAAATTGATATTTAGCATTTTTTGTATATTTACTTTCGAAGTAAGAAACTAAATAATAAATCATACTAAACTTTGAATTATAAACTATAATTTGATGCCAAATTTATTGACGTACATTCATGAAATAGTAGTGTAATAGTTTGACACTATCACAAGACCTCCCGCCAGTATACAACTTCACTCAAGTGGACTGGAAAAGTTTCAAAACCATGGTTGATGGTTGATACTCTCCTTCCGCCGTTAATAACCACCATAGAAAACAAAATGCTCTACACAAATGTCTAATGCACTTACCATTGCTGTCGATGTCAGTATCTGCATGGCCTTGAGAGGATACACAAACAATCACTAGAAACTTACACCACAAATACATAGTTTAAACCTTGAACGAAATCCAAAGGACTTTTTGGAAGAAATTTAAATCGCTAAACTCGGCTAAAAACAATAACAATAAGTTCTGCCATATCAAGTACAATAACAAAATCAGATCCAGAAAATGCAAACTTGAAACAATCTTCAAAAATGTTGACTCCTCCATAACTGTTTCCTGGAAACAGCACATTGTCAGCAACCATGTCAAGGTTAATTCACATCTGTACACACCTAATTTCCCACCAAATAACACAGACTCCAATACACTATCAAATCAAAATGATATTTTAAATCACAAAGTCACAAAAGTCGAAGTTAATATATATATATATATACTCAAAAACTATGCTCCCAGATATAACAGGGTGAGAAACATAATTCTCAAGAAAGCCTTTGATAATCTGCTTAGTCATTTAACGAATGTTAATTCATTACTAACTGACTACTTTCAGGATATCTGTAAAAAAGCCACTATAACAGTAATCCTTAAATATCCTATAATAACATGCAGTCCAGAAAAGTTTAGACCCATTAATCTTCTTAGCTGTTTAGGAAAACTAATTGAAAGAATTGTAGCTAACAGACTCCTTTATTTTTATGAAGTTAACAACCTTTTTCCCACATACAATGTTCATCACGTACAAAAGTGACAAACTATAGATCATCATACACGATTCACAGAAGCTGTCTTTGAATCTTTCAACAATAATCAAGCCACAATTGGAATTTTTCTTGATGTCTGGAAAGCTTTCGACAGTGTTTGGCACAATACCATAAGATATAGACTAAATGTTTGGCACAATACCATAAGATATAGACTAAATGTTTGGCACAATGCCATAAGATATAGACTAAATGTTTGGCACAATACCATAAGATATAGACTAAATGTTTGGCACAATGTCATAAGATATAGACTAAATGTTTAGCACAATTCCATAAGATATAGACTAAAGGTTTGGCATAATACCGTAAGATATAGACTAAATGTTTGGCACAATACCATAAGATATAGACTAAATGTTTGGCACAATGTCATAAGATATAGACTAAATGTTTGGCATAATACCATAAGATATAGACTAAATGTTTGGCACAATGCCATAAGATATAGAAGCACAAAGATACACAATGGACTATCTGTGCTCTGCCCACCACGGTATCGAAAACCGGATTCTAACGTTGTGAGTACGCAGACATGCCGCTGTGCCACTGGGGATGTAATTAAGCACAAAGCTACAAAATGGGCTATTTGTGCTCTGCCCACCACGGGTATCGAAAACCGGATTCTAGCATTGTAAGTCCGCAGAACATGCCGCTGTGCCACTGGGGAGCATCACGAAGCAGTCCTCTAATATAAAATGGCATTGTAAGTCCGCAGACATACCGCTGTGCCACTGGGAGGCGGTGCATTATTATGTTTTATTTTTTGTAATTAATATGATAGTTTCGGTAATGATTCAGATGTATTAGAAGAACTTTTCCGTATGAGCAGATGTACATATCTTATTGTATTTCAAAAAAGGAGAATTTATTGTCAGACAAATTTATACGGAAATATAATTGAACCCAAATGTTTAACCCCTCTCAGCTGCAGACAAACCAGATAAAAATAATACGTCATATCAGACAATCATAATCCTGGTAGTATATCATGAATAACAACCCATACACTGTTCAGCAAAACAACTCAGGTTTATATCTTATAGAACACCTCTTGGACTGTCTTTAAAGCTGTGTAAATCAATACTATAACCGACGATATAGCTTGGCGTTGCACTGACCTAAAATGAAACAAGATATTATCAGTTGGTCAGAGGCGGTGAAGAAAGGCTTTCCCATTACTGAGCATTTGTAGTCTCAGAAAAATTAATTTAATCTTACAATAACTTGTTTTGGTTTTAAATTGAGGACAGACATATTCTGCAGACTGTACCTAACGAAGTATTATCAATCAAGTTGAATCATCGTCTTTATACACTGAGTAAACAGTGCTCCGATAATATATGGCAAATTCAGCTTTATTTTTCGTTGTGACGAGAAATAATTTAACTATAAAAATTTTTTCTTTAAATGTTTAAGATATTTTATATTGTAGAACAATATTACAAAGGTTTAAATATTTTCATGTGTAGAATATTATTTTATTAATGTCACAAATTCTAAATGTATATATATTTTCTCCTTAAACGTAATGAACTTATGCGCTATATTACACGGGGATGAAATAAGTTATTTTCGGAAAGTGTCCACTTTTTGAAAGTGTCCACTTGATAAATAGATTCCAGTTCTAAGTTATTCAAGCCAATCTTTAAAATTAGCTTCTGCCTAAGGCGCAATTTTGTGTCTAGAGTAAGCATTAAGCCTGAACAAAAAACACCTAATTAAACAAGCTAATTATTATATGGGTGGGTGGGTTATATTTTCTAAACAAAAAATAAATAAATACTGCTGTTACTAGGCGCTTTTATCGACAATCTCTGTCGAATCACATCAAAGGTTACTCTTATTATCAGCTAATATACTTAAAGTTGGACATAGAAACACAAACAGTATCCTTTTCGTTGTCTGAAGAATTTATTTATGGTTACGTTATAACGATAAGAAAACAATGATCTAGCCTAATTGTTTCATTAAAAGACTAAAATAAGCGTTTCTTGTGATATTAGGAAGTAAAAAAACATACATAGTTTAGCTTTTTCACTGTTTATGAACTTGGCAGTAAAAGAAATGAACACCTGCTGTTGTTTCTTATTTTCTATTAGCACCAACTATTGAATTCGCACCGGAAGACACGTACAACACCACAGGAAGTTACGTGGTACTTTCTTGTGAAGCTTCCGGTTGGCCAATACCCATAATCCATTGGCGTGTTGATCTACAAAACGGGATTCAAAAATTTTTACCATGTAAGTTCGTGAGTCCTATTTTGATTGCTTTTTTTTTTGTTATTAAGGACAAACCTCCACTATGGGCTTTCTGTGCCCTGTCTCGTGGGGTATCAAACTCTGAATTCTAGCGTTATAATTCCGTAATCTTAATGTTGACCCACTGGGTAACCATTTAGAAAGGTAACACTGAAAGATAACTGACGTGTAACAACAATGCGTTCCATTTATACCAGTAGCCTATTAATATTATGATAAAAATTGCGTATTGTTAAGCCTAAATATTACTTTTAACCATTACATCGAAATCACATTCGGAATATGTTAACATACGACATTAATTAAAGTTACATAAAACAAAGAACGCTAATTGAGAACATAAACATATATATAAAACAAAACACTAAATATTCCATACATAGTTCAAATAATATCTACGGTTTTAAGCGTATTAGAAAATACGAAAATATATCATTAATGCCAGGTTTTAAATGTCTAAGCAGTTAAGACTCCTTTATTAACTGTGATTTCCAGGAGATAATGATGAAGTCTTTACCGCATGGCATCCCATAAATCATGTTATTGGAGTGCTTTTAATTACTGGAATGATTTCCTCAGTTCGGTTGGAGGTGTTCTTTTATTCGAACCATCAAGTGGCGGACCGTATTTACAAAAGATATGTAAAGTTGTACACAACGTACGCCCGCCACAATCGCATCTTTAATACGTAATTAAGGTTTAATGATGACTTTCAGTGAAATGTGTAGATATGAAGATGTTCGGTATATTTATAACTCAAAGAGCCCATAAATGCTAAGACTATTGATAGTAATTTTTGTTTGTAATTAAGCACAAAGCTACAAAATGGGCTATCTGTGCTCTGCCCACCACGGGTATCGAAACCCGGATTTTCAATGACGTTGAATTAAGCATAGAAAATATCATATTCAATGACGTTGAATTAAGCATCGAAACTGTCATATTCAAAGACGTTGAATTAAGCATATCATTCACTTCTGGTTTTCCAGATATAAAGCTTCGACTCATGTATGAACAGTGTAGGAACTATGTAGGGATGGCACAGACCTTAGCACTCTCTATGTAGGGATAGCACAGACCTTAGCACTCTCTATGTAGGATAGCACAGACCTTAGCACTCTCTATGTAGGATGGCACAGTACCTAGCACTCT